ACAGACACACTGTGCGCGCCTCCCCCCCCTCTTTTTCCCCCCCCCCCCCCCCCCCCCCCCCCCCCCCTCCCTCTGCACGACACAAAGGAAGAGGTGGCCATCAGCAACACGCCGCAGGCCGTTTCACTGAGCATCAACTATGGTGACCATACATATGTACTGTATGTATGCTGTGTTACCACTTATGCTGCACTCTGCTGCATTCCAATGTAGCAACACTGACATCTCTTGGCCCAATGGGAAACTGTCACAGGACGCTTAGTTTATCTTGTGCTTCAATTAATCACCTTTTTGGGGACAGTTCGGGGTAACAGTACTCAAGAGGGAAAACTGTTTTGGTTGTGAATGTTCTGAAGCCAAATTCTTATTATTTGTACAAAATAGAATTAATAATAGATATTATAATTTATATTATGAATTCAAAGGTAGAAAAGATGGGTGTATTCTTCACATTTGTGCCCAAAACCAAACTGAAAAAGTCAATATACACCTGCATACATGAAGGTTTACCCTACAACTTAAGAAATGCATTTAAAAAATACTATTATTTATTTATTATTATTTATATTTGAATCTCACATCAACTTCCCCCTTGTAAATAAAATAACCGTAACCTTAAAAACAGATTTCTGAGATGCAACTTCTTTTCAAACACTATCAATTTATTTGTACTCGAGGACGGTAATGTATTCTTTAGATATTTGTAATTTATTTGAACCATCTAGTTCTATTTAATTTTTAATTGATTACTATTCAGATATGTTTCTATATCATAGAAACATATCTGAATGTGTTTCTTTATTTAAAATTAAATACTGTACAGATATATTTCTGTATCATGTTTACACCGTGCTTCTCTCTCTTTTTTTATGACTGAACGCGACCACTAGGGGGCGCTAGCTGCCACTGTGCCTCTCTGTCCAACCGGTAGCGAAACCACCGAAGCACAAGCACGTGTAGTCTGAGCATTTGTTTTGCATCGTTGCGGTTTGCTTCCTCGGGAGATGGTGAGAAATGATTTATTAAAACTGTAAATGTATCATAACTGTAAACACAAACGTGTACGTGCTTGTTATTTAGATGTGTAAACACTAAAGAGACGTACACGTTTGGTAGCATGAATCTCACCGAGCAGGGTTATCATTCGCAACAGTAATGAATTCAGAGGCTAGTGGAATGTAGCGTCACACAATATATGAACTGTTGGGAACCATTTAAGCCGGGACATTTAGCTCATATGTAACTATTGTTGCAGACAGGTGTGTGGAGTTTTAAGCTAACCTCAGACCCCGTCTTTCCAGGTGAGGCTCTCACATGGAGGCAGAGTGTGAGCAGGTCCATGGAGGTGGTGGTGGTGAGGAGGAGGAGGAGGCAGGAGCAGATGAAGCCATGCTGTGGTCCTTCCAGGAGGCTGTGGAGAGGCAGACCCTGCAGATAGGAGCGTCAGCCTGCGGGGCCACAGCTGTGGTGGACGTGCTGAAAGCCCTCGGCGTGGATGTGGCCCCTGAGGAAGCAGACCGCTGCGTGCAGACCCGCCTGAGGAGGAACGAGTCCCCGCTGCCCGACTACCTGCTGTCCCGGAGTGAAGCCGGTAAATGTCCTAATGTTGGGGAGAGCCAGCTGTGGGCCCTCATATATGTCACCATCTTTGTTACAGTGGTGGAATGTAACTCAAGTACTGCACCTAAGTACATATTCAAGGTACTTGTACTTTACTTGAGTATTTCCATTTTATGCAACTTATTACTTCTACAACACTATGACATCTTAAGTCACTTTTCAGATGACTATTCTTAATACTCATCCTGTCCAGTGAACACCATGTATCTCAACATTTGTTGTCTCAACATATGAATTTTTCTGATAGGAAAAAGAAGGCGTGTTCTTTCATTAAGGGTTGGGGTTAGCTTCTTCTTCTTTAGCTGAATAAACCTTGTGAAAAGCCTCTTGGAGCTGCTGGAAAATTGTTTATTGTTTAGTTTTCAGTAAAATTTTTACTTACACTAGTGTTTTCAGTGTGGTTTTGATGCTTTTATTTCAGTAAAGGATCAGAGTACTTTTTCTACCACTAAATGAGTGTATACAAATACAAATGTCTGTGTATAAAATATTGTATGGACACAGATTAAATGCACATTTTGTTCTGCCTTCCACGTAATAAATGTATCACTGAATTATGATCTTTCATGCAGGAAGAAAATGAAATCAACACCAGCAATGTAACATAACGGACACCTATGTCTGAATGACAATAAGCCATCGTTTTTAAGAGGAAGATGAAGCTAGACATATGTTTTATTGCATGCCTTTAAAGGATTTATTACATTTGTTTGACTAAAGAGGACTCAACTGTCAGATATTGCACTTTAAACACTTAACACTCAAAGCGGCCCTATCCAAACTGTCCTGTGACATTTCAGCTAATGAAATATTAATACATAAAGCATGACTTTGCATAGGTGGCATATCTTCACTGGGCTCCACAGACATTTCAGGTGTCACAGATGCTCGCGGAGGCTATAACTCCCCCTCTGAATGGGGCTCCGTAATGTCTCGAACCCATAAGTGCGGTTTCCTGCCAGCGTGACAGCTGGCTCCACTGCCAACCAGGCGAATTCAAAAGTACCCTCTTGAATTAGACAAAGAGGTTTATTTTTCTCAGAGGAGCCACTGTAATTGACTTTTTCAGCTCTGTTACACAATTTTTGCATTGACATCTCAGGCGCTTAGCTCAAGCTGTCATCACACGTGAGGCTCTGAATGGAAAAGAAACGCACCTTTAATCATAGGATCTTAGACACTCTTCAGGTGTAATACGGTGCTATATTTCTAGGACGATCTGACAGGTGATGGAAAAAAAATAAAGATTGTAATTTGTTTTAGGTGCGACTCATTCTCAGCTCATCCAAGGAGCACAGGAGGCCAGTAAGGGGAAGGTAGCAGGTCGCTTCTTCCACTTTCACCCTCGGCAGCGGCTCAGACTGATCCCCTGGCTCGCACGCTGGATCCGAAAGGGCGCCGTTCCCGTCGCCACCATGAACATGCAGCTGGCCGTGCCCGAGGGAGAGGAGGTGCCGGACGCCTGGCACCATCAGCTGGTATTTGGCGTTGCACCCCATGCTGTTTTCATGACCAATCCTTTAGATGTAGGTGAGTAAGGGCAAATAACATTATCAGGAGAATCATCTCTCCTGACTTTTATACATAATGTATATATTTTTTTAGGAAGTGAGGAAGAGGTGCACCAGAGACTCTGCAGCGAATCTGTGTTGCTGATTCGTCGAGAAGATGTCCTACAGAGACTGACGCCAGATTGCTGTCTGTCCAGTTTATCAGAGAGTCAGTCTGACCCGCGGTGGAAAGCCCTGGATATCGAGGGTAGAAGCCGTTAATTAGGGTTTTATTTATTCAGATTTACACAGACTTTTCATCCCGTTAAAAGTGCTTTCATCCCATTTTTCTGCCCGTTAGGTCAAGTGAGGCAGATGGCCCTCGAAGAGGAACAGGAACCAGATAGACCCAAGCTAGCACACATCACGATCCCGGCAGCGTACAGCTCAGGCGTCACACTGTTCGCCCTGCGAGGGTCACAGTTAGGACACAAACTCCTCCATGCCCCTGAACTCCCTTTGCTGTGACGCTACTGCCACTCGTGCACTTGAAGACTTTTTAATGTGACATGAAACAGATAACATACTACTTTACTGATCCTAGTGTTGAGGATTAGCGGATACCCACCCTGCTGACTGGAAGAGAGGGCGAACAAAACACATGATATTGTATGTGTACCGATGACGCAGCTGTTGCACATAGCATGTTGGACACATATGAACTACGTAAACATTTGCACAGTATAAGAATGTATTACAGATGTGTGCTGGTGCTATGAAGGGACTATAAAACCGTGCACCACAAATTGCTGACACTCTTTGTTAACACATCTGTTTTCTAACCTAAACTGCAGAATCACCCTCCTGCACCGTTTGAATCAAGTGCCCACATGTGGGGCTTCATTTGCCAGCTGTCATCAAACACCTGCAAATATTTTCACCAACACAGTCATCCGTGTTCATTTCTATGACAGGTTTTTAGATTACAGTCCTGTGTGAGTTCATTACTTGAGTTAAGCATGTTTGAAATAACGAGAGGAGCAAGCTGGCCGTCTTCTTTTTGCTCCATCCATGCCATCATGTCATCCTGTATTGACCATCATCGCTCACTGTGCCAGAACTTTCCCTCATCTGCTGCTTCCAGCCCCTTAACTAGAGAGGCTCCCTATTTGGCCGCTTCACACCGCCTTACATTTAACTTTAGGATTGACTTTCAGAACGTATTGATTTCTCTCAAGCAGTAAATGGCAGAGCTCCAGTTTATATTTCAGCGCTGTAATTGCTGATGGTCCGAAGCTTATATCAGCAGACCAAACTCATCTGATTGCTCTAAAGCAGGGGTTCTTAACCTTTTTGACCTCGGGGCCCAACTTTTCAAATACAAAGTGTCCCGGGGCCCATTCAAATATTAACACTATTAGTTTAACTAATTGATCTCACTCTTGGTTCGATTTGTATTCAATAACTACATTGTTACCTGTTCAACTCCACCCCTATTTTGGAGCAAAACCGCCTAAAATGGCTGTAGCTTCTGAACCACTGTGACTATATGCATCAAAAGTGTCAGAAAACCTGTAGGTCATATAGAAACAGAGCAGTGGGCCTTTGGAGTCAGTAAAAATTGAAGATTTTTGTCCTCGTAAAATAAAAAAGTATCTTTCAGTATAAATAACTGCCTGTGGCTGTATCTGTACAGGTAAATGACAGTATATGGCTGTAACTACACTATCAGTGAACAACTGCCTCAAATTTGAAGAAGATTGGACAAAGTATGACGATTCTACAGAGTTTATTCCATGAAGAGATCCAGGCGGAGCTCTCAAAGGATATTTGGAGACCCAAATGGACACATGGTAACCAAATGATATTCTGACACACTAAAGGTGTTTCTCCCTTTTTATTTTGATATTATATTATCATCCTTTTAAATTGCAAAGGCTATATATATATATATATATATGGTCGAAGACGTGGTATGTAAGTAGCGGACTAAGAGTGCGTAATGGCTGTGACTGAGCGCATGATCGAATATGAGGGTAGCTCAGTTACACAAGGTTATACTTTGGCTTATAGAAAAGGAAGATGAGGTTTGTACTTTAAGTACTAGCGTTTTCTGAAGCTACTAGCTCCATGATAACATCCGCTAGCACATTGTTGGGTCTGTAATGTGTCTTTTTCCGTCGAAATGCTGCAAGATCCGACTTGCAGCGGTTTTGGCGACATTGGACAGTGTGTGTTTGGGCTCCTTTTGTGAAAAATCCATAAGAAATGAAAGAAATTCGATGATTTCTTTGCAAAGATGAGGGTTTTGGGCATGCTGGGATACCAAACACGGCCATGTTTTGTGACGTAGTTTGCGCAAGCAAGCCGTAGGAACGGAAGGGGAGGGGATCGAGGACGCCGGCATCCTCGCGGAGTTGAACAGGCAAAACCCTTGTCAAATAAATGAGATGATACAATGTGATGATCACAAAGACATTTATTTATCATGTGTATGTAAACCTGCATACACAAGAAGATTTAACACTGCTGCCCTCTAGTGGTTAAATCGGGTAATGTTTATGATTCATTAAA